ATCTCCGGGCGAGTCAGGAAAAAAAAAATAAAAAACAGCTGGCCCTCGGGAGCGAGCTGCCCAGGTCAGTGAATATCACTCTCTTCCCTCTCTAACTCCGCACGCCCTCTCCCCGCTCCACGTGGAGGAAATTAGGAGGAGGCCTCCTCTCCAAAGGGCAGACTGCCTCTGAAAGAAACTAAACTAGAACCCAGTTCTTATTGTTCTTTTTGGTCCCTGGAAATCTCTGGGTTTCTGTGGTGACCTTGGGCGGGCACGGTGTTGTGAGTGTGTGGATGCCCTCGTTTGCGGGAAAGAGCTGGTAGAAGTAGGGATGTGAAGAAAAACCCAGCGGAAGAATGAGAGCCCGTGGGAATGCTTGGAAAGGGCCGGAGACACGTTTCTCACTGCAAGGAGGGCAGAGGACTGGGGAAAACAACCCCTGTGCCCAGGAGCCTTCTCCTAAAGGTGGCTTCAGTGTCAATTTCGTGTTTATTTTCCTCTGTTTTAAAGCGTGTGTTGAGGCTCATTGTCTCTGCATACAATTAAATAAACAGCTGTGCACTGTAAGATAAAGTTGGAACCCAGATGTGTCAGCATCTGGCATACCCCCGGGAAGCTAGGGGCTGGGAGGCTTCTTTGCTTCCAGGAGCACCCTGAGGTGGGTGAGAAAACCGCAGCCTCCCCAGAGGTTGCCCAGGGGCATCCGAAGCAGAAGGGGCAGAGAGGAAAAGATTTGGACTTAACTCCTGGGACATCAGACCAACAGACCTCCAAAAATTCACTCAAAGGCAGTTGCCCCCTGAAGACAGATCATGTTAAAATGTCAAGGAAGTGAAGTGAGTCTGGGCAGGACAGCTGCTATTATACACGCCTTTTCTTTCTCTGGGATACCGACAGGGTGCCTGAGGAAAGTGACATGGGTGATTCTGGCAAGGGCAGGGAGGAAAGGGAGTCCAGTGGCGCAGCATCTCCCTCGGCTTGGTTCCCGTATTTCCTGGTCCTTCTCTCCTCCCCATTGTCCATGCTCACCAGGATGCTGGGGTCGCAGATGGGACATTAAGAACTTTAAAGGGATACGTGATGAAGCAGCATTTCCGAAGTCCGCTTACCGGCTGCTGCAGGGAAGGTAGTGGTAGTGGCCATGGGTGGGCTGGGGGCTAGCCAGTCATGTTGAGTCCATCCAGGCATCTGTAAATCAGATGCTTGGGGACCCACATGGCTGGTAGTCTGTGTGTGTGTGTGGGTGTGTGTGTGTGTGTGTGAGGGGCTTACCATGACCTATTTGTGCCGTTCAGAAGAATGAAATTGTTTTCTATCCATTTGAACCCAGTCGGGATGTGGTGTCAGTTCAGACCAAGACCCCATCGGATGTCTGCTCGCATGGGGGGTCTGATTATGGAGTCTCTGGGTGGGATCAAGCACGAGGCTCTGCTTGCAGCTTCCAGCCAGCTGCCTCCTAAAGCCCAAAGTCCCTGGCCCAAGAAGCCACAGGGCTTAGAAAATGCCAAGCGGCTGCAATCCACGGGCCCATCCTCCACTCTGCACAAGAGGTCTCTGCCAGCCCCAGCACTGGGGCTGTTCTGTCCCCACCAAAAGCGAGGAGACCTGGCAAGCTGCATTTTTCTGTATTTGACATTTGCAACCTGCTTTCTTGCAAAAGATAAATGAGGTGGGGACAGTCAGGGGTGCAGAGAAGGGATGGGAGTGGGAACTCCTGAGCATTCTTCGGTAGGGGTTTTCTGTTAGGGTTTCCAGCTGCCCCGGGACACACAGAGTGCCTGGGGAACCGGCAGGTACCTGGGAGCCAGGTGGCTGGGAACCCCTCGTCTGGAGGTTACAGCAGTTTGTGTCCTGGAACCACAGGAGATGGCAGGGAATTAGGGATCCTGATAAGGTGTGTGGGGCAGATCCCAAAACCGCTTCTGTCCTCTAGCATTCACTTATTTTTAACCATTTCTAGGCTGTACTGAAGTAATGTCTCATTCTTGGTGCCTGGGCTATTTTACACACAAATGTGCATTCTTCTCCTGGTATGTCTTTGTGTGCAGATCAAATCTTTCCCATCACCTCTTTTTTTCTTAATGGTTGGAATAACCAGAGAGAGGCTTTGCAGCCTCCAAGGGAGCAAACTGAGGAATCTCCTTTTTGCTTTGGTTGCTGGGCTGACCGGAGCTGGGGTGCAGAGGTGGGTGCGGCAGCGAGCAAGAAGCAGCTGCCCGAGGCGTTCCGGCTGAGGTCCGCCGGGTGTCCGTCGCTGCTGGACTGCTGGCGCTAGTGAAGAACAGACACATGCGTCTGGTTGCTGTTTTGTTTTATATAACAAATTGCTTAGGGTCCGCGAGGTGGAAGGCAGCCTACAGCTGAGCTGCCGGGAGGGAGAGGCTGTGGGTAGGGGGCAGCCCAGGACCAAGGGAGGCCGGGAGAAGGATGCGCACGCCAAACCTCCTCCTTTGCACCTCTGAGCCAGGCACAAACATGGATTTTTTTTTTACCATGGGGTCTCTAGCACGTCCAAAGGAAGACACGAATGGCTTGTACTTTTAAAAGTGCGCCTCTACTGTCTCCAGGATCTGAACGGAGTCCTCCTCCCCCTCTTTTCCTACCCCTGCTGTGAACACTCCGCCTGCCAGATCGTCCCACTACAATCACACCCCAGTTCCTTGGCTAATAATATAAAGGAGTCAAAACACAATAGTCCCCAGATAAAGCCCTCCTTCTCCTCCAAAAAGGCCTAACTGAAGCAGACGGAGGAGACTCGGCTGAGGCCAGCGCTGGCGGCTGGGGCTGTAGTTGGCCAGGGGCCTCAGGAGCTGGGCAGCTGTGAGGAGGTGGGTGTCCAGGCCGGGAGAGTGGAGAAGGTGACTCCGACTGGCCGTCCTGAGCACCGCGTGCACCCCACCTCACCCGGCAATGCTAAGGCCTGGTGGGTCAAGCCTTGAAATGGGTGAATTTTTGCCAGACTGGAGCCTTTCCTAGGGGCAGGGGCTGGAATCCTGGGTGCTATAGCGGTGAGGTTGAGGGGTGCCCTGGGAGACAGGAGAGGCCAGGTCTTGAAGTAGCAAGCTCCTAAGAGTCACTGATGCCACTGAGGGCAGGATAAGCGGTCCAGGGCCGCCGGCTGGGCTGCCTCCATCCCTTCTTTTTCTCCGGCGGCATCCACCTGTCCCCCCACCTGCCAAGGCCAGGAGGGAGGGAGAGAGCTGAAAAGGGCACTTTTCCTCCAGGGTGACTCCAATTCCTTTCCACTCACCCTCAAGGCGAGTTCTTTCTCTCCCACCCAACCCAGGGCTCCCCCCAACTGCCACCGGCCTCACGTGTGCATTGTTAAACCCGAAAGCAGAAATCCCCTGCCTTCTCCCTTCCCGTCTCCCCCTTTCCGTTGCACCCCTACCTACCCAATTTTTATCTCGCTACAATCAGGGGTTTTCTCAACCGGGGAAAAGGTGGTAGTGGCTGTGGGAGGCTCAGGATCCCTCGAAGTGGAGGCCGGGGCCGGGCTGGGGGCGGAGTGCGGGGGCGGGGGTAATCTCCCAGCGCATCTCCTCTTTTTTGACTCTCCCCACCACTCGAGGCTCCTCCTGGCCTGGGCGGGTTTCCTTCCGAGTTTTAAACGGTGGTAGATGAATAAGCAAAACAAACAAACAGGAAAAAAAAAGAAAAAAGAAAAAAAAGAAAAAAGAAAAAAAAGAAGGAGAAGAAAAAAGGGCAAATCAAATCACATACCACCCCCAAAACGATGGCTCATTTCACAGGGAAGGTAGACTCCGGGCCCGGGGCGCGTGGGCGGGGGGGAGCCGCGGGGAGAGTTGCCCCTTGGACGCACCCACCTCCATCATCTTCCCTTTGCCAGTGAGTTTTGAGGTCCCTCTTTCTCTGCTTTCCCCCAAGTTCCCTGCTCGCTGGGTTTTGTTTGAGAAGAGCCAGCCTTGCTGGGCCGGGATCCTCAACCAGCATTGCCCACTGCCCGGCTGCTTTCTCCTCCCGTTTAGATCTTGTTCCCCGCTCTCCGCATTTCAGCTCGCCAGGGAAAGAAAAAGGGGGCCTGGGTGGCAGATGCAGAGATAATATGTATTTAACCTGGGCGGTCCGGGGCGCCATGCCGCAGCGAGCTCCCCGCGGTGTGGCCCGCGCAGCCGGGGCCAGCGGTGGCGCCTGGAGCCGTGTCCCCGGCGTAACCCTCCCGCCCGGCAGCCGGCGAGCTGTTTATACAGCTTTACCTGTGCTATAGTCCTATCCAGTAAAAACCCTCGCTCGGCCAGGGTAACCTAATCCAGGGGCCGAGGCGGAGGAGGGGTAGTGAGACTGGCTGGGTTGGAGAGGGAGGTGTGCGCGCGCCACTATCCAGGATCTCTCCTTTGCCCCTCCTCCCACCGTAGGGAAGGAAATTTGGACATGGTTCGGGTGACCGAAATGGGGACCCGGGGCTAAGGAGGAAGGAGGCCAGTTTTCACGGCCCCGTCCTCCGGCTTCTCTCCTTTGAACAGGCGCTGGGGACCTGCGCGGCGGCCACAGCTGGACGCGCGCAGGGAAAGGCGCGGCGATCCCGGGGGCGCCCGGCGTGGGCTGGCGAGGCCGGGGACAGGTTTCCCGCCCTGGCCTGGCTCAGCTCGCCCTCGCCCCGCTTTCATCTTGCCCCAGTCGCCCTTTCCAATTCCCACACTGAAGGCAAAGCGAGCAAGGAAAGGAGCCGGCGCCTCCCCAAGCGGACCCTCCCTTCCGCGCAGCCTCGGCCACTCTTCCAGAGCGCGCCGGTGCGGACTGCGGCCGGCGCAGGGAATCGAATTAAACGCCTCTGGGCGGTTATTGTCTTTCGCTAATTGCTCGAACAATGGCCTCTATTAAAATGGAGACACCCAATTAAAGGCCCCGCCGGGCCGTGCTCTGCTCCCGGCAAAGCTCTGGCCCCCGGCCTGCGGCGTGCAGACCGCGGGGCCGCGGACCTGGCTGGTGCTGGGCGCTGGCGCCGGCCTCGACACCTTTGGCCTCCACTTCCTCCCCAGACTCACAGCGACAGCGGCCGCTTCACACTGTTTTTATTGACCGATCGCAGCCCCGCAAGATTGATCGAGCTGGAATGGGAAGGGACTTCTCCTCCCCCAGGCCCGGCTCGCCAGGGCCTCGGGCCGTGCTGCAGTTTCTGGCCTTTCGTGTCGCTCCCCGCCCCCCAGCCTCGCAGATTCCCGGTTTCTTTTCTGTCTTTAACTGTGCGGCCGGGTCCGCCCAGGCCGGCGCCGGGGCTCAGGGGGGAGGGACTCGGCGGCGCGGCTCGGCTCCGCTTCTTTCTCCTGCCTGCAAATATTTGCTGCCTTGCTGGAAATCCGACGATTTCGCGCGCGCTCTGCTTGCAAAGTCTTTAAGTAAACACGCTCAAATGACCGCCCCAGGCGGCCCGAGGCACGCTCTCTCCCCCTGCGCGGGATTAGTAACTTTAGGACTTCGACCCCGGGGCTCCACTTTGCCGGTTACCCAGGTCGGGCAGCGCGCGGGCGCCAGGGGCCGGTTCTCCAGGCACCTCGGCCCCGCGGAGCTCGCCTGGAAGCATCGGTTGCCTGGCTCCGGTGGGTGGCGCGAGCATCTCCGCACCCTGGGTCCGTAGCCCTAGGGCTGAGCCCCGGAAAGCCGCGACTCCTCTCTGCACCGTGGCCTCTGCTTTCTGTACCCGACTGGGTTTCCCCACTTCCACCGGGACAGGGTCTCTTCGCCCCTGGGAGGGCGGGTGGGAGGGACTTGCACGTGGGCATGTGTTTAGGGGTGTGTGTGGGTCCCAGCTTAACCCCTACCAAGCGGAGAAACTCCGGCTCCATTTCTCACCTTTTCCCCAAGAGGACACACATACCCGGCTCAACTTGACGCCTAAAGTAGCGGCTTCCAGGCCTGGGGTTTCAGATAGGCCAAGCCGGCTGCCACTGCCCCGCACGCCGCCCCGGGCCCCCGCTCCTCTCCAGGCGGTGGCCGCGCCGTCGCCTGCTCAATTGCGGGATGCTTGCTCCCAGGGTCCTAGGCGTCCAGGTTGATCGCCAGCCCCTTACCCTGGTGAGGGAGGCCTTGTGCCCTACAGAAGCCCCGGGCCCTGCAGCGGCGGCGGCGGCGGCGGCATCCTCCTGGTCGCCTCCTCGCTTTCCTCCACCCGAGCTCCGCTGGCTGCTCCTTGGGAGGAAGGAGACTCGCTAGACCAGGCCGAGGCCCAGGTACCTGGGGAGGGGTCGCGTCAGGTCTGCGGGAAGGCGCTCAGGCTCCTCCGCAGGAGGCCAGGATCAGCTTTGTGGCTGTGGCACAGGGAGAGTCAGGACCACCTTTTCCCCCTTACCCCCGGCCAGGAGCCCCCTTCCCCTCCCCCGCCCGCCAAGGGAGGAGGAAGCCCGGCCTGCTCTTGCTGGCGAGGCGGGTCATGCCGGCGCCTGGCCTGGCCCGGACCCCCGCAGCCCGACTCTCCGCCTCAGGCCACGCGCCGCAGCCTCTCCAACCTCGCTCCCTTCCCCCTTCCTTCCCCGTGGGTCCCGGGGCCGACCTCGGCCCTCCCTCCTCGGTATCCCCCTCCCATCCTTTTCCCTCCCCCGCTGCCCTGTGCTCCCGGCTCCAGGGCTGGGCCCGTGACGTCAAACCCAGTGTGGCGTCGGCGAGACTGGCCGGCGCGGGCCATCAAAAGAGCAACGTCCTCTCTCCCAATTACCCACTGTCAGTCCGGGAACAGGGGCGGACCGGCTGGGAATTAAATGTTAAATACCCCCTACCGGCTGGCTCCATTACCCGGGGCATCCAGCCCCAGGCCCCCCACCCCTCTCTGCCAGCCTCAAACCACCCAGACCAAGAAGGGCCTTCGGAGATTTTTTATTTTTCTAAAGGTGGGGGTTGCTGTTCTCCATCCCCGGCCAGTCCGACTTGGTGCTGGCAACTGAATTTAAACGAATAATCCCCATTTCCCCATTCAAAATTAGCGGAGAGGCGCCCCCGCACCGGAAGGCCTCCTCGCCAGTCTTTTCTTTTTGTCTTTAAAATAATTCTTAGCCTCAGAAGTTAGCATTTTCAAGACCTGGCATCCGCAGCGTTTCTGTCGCAGGGACTTCTCTCTTCGGCTCTGAGGTCTCCGCGCGCAGGACCCAGGGCTGCTCTTGGTTTTACGCGTGGCTGTAAGCTGGGCTCACGCTGCGTGGCGCATCCACCCCCCAATTGACAGGCGGAGAAACATTTTTCATTTTTTCTTTCAGCTTCTATCCTTCATCTTAATCCCGGGATTCTTAGCAAAAAATGCATGTGCGTTCGTTTCTCCTTGTTTGTGGAGAGGTTTCCGGTGAATGTTAGACAGCAACTAAATAATTAAAAGGTTTAGAGAGCGCTGTGAGCAGAAGATGCGGGCAGCTTGGCTGGCCCGGGAGAGACGAGTGGTCAGAGAATGAAAGGAAAATCGATGCCTCTTAACTGGGCAGCCTAATAACGGGAGACCAAGTAGGCTCAGGAGAAACGTGGGGGGAGAACTTTCTTTAAAAAAAATTAGGGTTCTTTCTTTCTGTCTTATATATGGAAATTCAGCCCTGATTTCAAACAAACATCAGATTTAAGAAGGTGAGGACTCCAAAGAAGATCCAAACGCAAGACCAGGAAGAGCTACGTTTCCACTACTTCTTCCAATACATTTCACTAATCTTTCTACAGAGATAGTGTTTTAAAACACGACAACCCTCACACACCAAGTTGAAGCTGAATATTGATGTTCCTTCACCGCATGAAAGGAATCCTTCAGAACTTACTTTCAGGGACGGCTTCTTCTATCTCGAATTTTTGCATTTGTAGGGAATTTTATGGGGTCGAGGAGCGAAGAGGGAACAATGTCTCCAAATAAAACCCCAGATTAAGGTCTCAGCCCCATCGGTGGGATAGCCTGCGGGGGAACCCACTCCCTCTCCTCGCAGCATTGCCCTGGGGGCGAGCAGAGAGTGGATTTGGAGTCTTCTTTTCCCGCCTGACCCCTGCTCGCCAGAGCAGCATTTTCGGGCCGGCGGCTGCAGCCACCCGGGCGCCACTAGGGGATGCAGTGGCTCAAAGGACCGAGCGGGCCGTGCAGGTTGGAGCCCGCGGGGCGGGCCAATCGCGGGTAGTTCGCAGCCTCGCCCGCTGATTGGCCCCTCGAGGCCCCGCCCCTTCTCGCCCCGCCCCCCTCTCTGGGGCGCCTTGCAGCCTTGTGCCCTCCGCGCCGGGGTGCCCAATGCGCAGAGCGTGGCCTGGAGACACGCGAGCCGGGGAAGGTCGCCGTGGAGTCCCGACCAGAGGCCGGGGTTGGGGTCGGTGCAGACTGAGGGCTGGTTTCCTCGACTGGGGGAGAAACGCCGGGAGCGAGAGTAAGTAGGGCTCCGGGCGGGGCGAAAGGAAAAGTTGGGTCCCTGGAGTGAAGACCGAATTCTTTCTGTCCGTCTACACTGAGCGTACTCGGGGAATGAGTTAGAGACAGTCTCTTCCTCCCCTCCCGTCCCCCTTTCTAATCCCTCACTGTTGCCACTCAAGTCAAAAGCACACATTGATTACAAATATTAGGTCTGGAAAGGGCAGCTGCAACAGCTGAAGCGTGTTCACTCTGGGGGCTGGAGAGCGCAGAAGGCTCGGGAAAGAGGTGACAGTGACAACAAAATTGACACGGGCGCTCCAGTCAAAGGCATCTCTCCTTTACCCGATGCCTCACCCTCTTAGGAAGTCGGCCAGAGAGGCAAATCTCAAAGCACCTTGACACGAAACATTTTGTTTTTCTGATCAATTTAACGCGCACGTCTCCCCACATCGCTGCGCTCTCCCAAACAGTCTGCATTGGGTCCTAATAACGATCCATGCGTGCCTATTGTTTAAAAGTCTGAAAAAGAAAAGTCTGCCCATCGAAATGAACTTCATGAATGGGGCAGGCTGGCTGCACTGGGACGGAATCGTCCACCCGACCCGAATGAATCGGCAGGAGCCGCGGCCACATTTAAAGGGCCAGAGCGCGCGTTCCCTCCCGTCCGCCCCCAAGCCCCGCGGGCCTCGCCCACCCTGCCCGCCGCCCCTCCGCCCGCGGCCGCCCTCTGCGGCGCCCCTTTCCGGTCAGTGGAGGGGCGGGAGGAGGGGCGGGGGTGCGCGGGGCGGGGGGAGAAGTCCTGGAGCCGGTTTGGGTTGCAGTTTCCTTGTGCCGGGGATCCTGTCCCCTACTCGCCAGCGCCAGGCTCCTCCCCCCTCGGCGCGGATGACACTAGAACCTCCTTAAGTTGCGTCGCGCCACAGCTGTCTGCGAACACTGAGCTGCCTGGCGCCGTCTTGATACTTTCAGAAAGAATGCATTCCCTGTAAAAAAAAAAAAAAAAAAAAAAAAATACTGAGCGAGGGAGAGAGAGAGAGAAGAAGTGAGAGAGACGGAGGGAGAGCGAGACAGAGCGAGCTACGCAATCCGACCGAGCAGGTCGTACGCCGCCGCCTCCTCCTCCTCTCTGCTCTTCGCTACCCAGGTTGGTACTGGTGACTTTTTTTTTTTTTACGTTTTATTTTTTGCCCCCAACCACTTGGGAGGACGTAAAGCAATTTTAAAAACTCAACTCTCCTCTTTTGGAGGTTTTCTAGGTGCTGAGGGGACGGTCCCGGGACCAGTGTCCCCGAGGGAGGGACTTGTTCTCCAACTTTCAACAGTCAGCCCCGGGACTTGTCCTCCAAGTTGCTCAGCCAGCCCCGGCTCCCGCGAGTCGGGCTGCAGGGACGTCCCTGAGAGTCCTGCGGGCTCCCTGGCCGTTTCCCCGCGCGCCTGTGCGGGTCTCGGGTGCGCTGGGCCGGCGGGCGGCGCGAAGGGAGGTGGTGCCACTCCAGCAACCCAGGGGCTCATCCAGGTCTCCCCTTCTCTTCCTTGCAGGTGACCCGGGAAGGGACTCCGCCTCGGAGCGGCTGAGGACCCCGGTGCAGAGGAGCCTGGCTCGCAGAATTCCAGAGTCGTCGCCCCTTTTTACAACCTGGTTCCCTTTTATCCTGCCGTACCCAGTTTTTGGATTTTTGTCTTCCCCGTCTTCTCTTTGCTAAAAGACCCCTCCAAGATTATTTTTTAAAAATCCTCTCCTTTGCTCACCTTTGCTTCCCAGCCTTCCCATCCCCCCACCGAAAGCAAATCATTCAACGACCCCCGACCCTCCGACGGCAGGAGCCCCCCGACCTCCCAGGCCGACCGCCCTCCCTCCCCGCGCGCGGGTTCCGGGCCCGGCGAGAGGGCGCGAGCGCAGCCGAGGCCATGGAGGTGACGGCAGACCAGCCGCGCTGGGTAAGCCACCACCACCCCGCCGTGCTGAACGGGCAGCACCCGGACACGCACCACCCGGGCCTCGGCCACTCCTACATGGACCCGGCGCAGTACCCGCTGCCGGAGGAGGTGGATGTGCTTTTTAACATCGACGGTCAAGGCAACCACGTCCCGCCCTACTACGGAAACTCGGTCAGGGCCACGGTGCAGAGGTACCCTCCGACCCACCACGGTGAGTACGCCCGGGGTGCGGGGGCTCTTGTCGGCTGCGTCAGTTGTCCCGGCTTGGGGAGGTCGGGAAGGACCTGAGGGCGGGGAGAGGTCAATCAAAAGCCCTCATCTGCCGTTCCTGGTTCATTTACAAAAAAATTGGGGCCCGGAAATGGGCAAGGAAGGCCTCTGGCTCGTCGCGAGAGTGTGTTTTGAAACAGTCGCAGCAGGCGCCTCTCCCGGCTGGTGGCCCTGGGGCCTGGCGCTCACCTGGCGGGGGCCAGGCCGCAGCCCTTCGTCCCTGCGCGGCTGCAGGTTTTGGGGGGTCTCGGGATGTCCCCAGGCGTGGGGTGCCCTGGCTCTGTCTCCGCGGGTCCGGGCTCTCTGGGCCCGGTAGCCGGCGCCGGCCAAACCCGGCTGGAACCCAGCTCTTCCAAAAAACCTGGCGTTCCCTGTTACCCGCTAGCTCTTTCTAGGGGGGCGGCCTCTGCCAGCGTCCCTCAATTCGCACATTTTCAGAAAGGCCCCAGAGACTTATTTATTCACACCCTTCTTCTTGACCTTTTCCCAAAGCTAGTGCCTTTGGTTTTTAGACAGGTCTCCTACCTCTTGGCTTCAGGAATGGAATTCTGATGCTGAAGGGATTTGGAGGGGAGGACCCTGGTCTTAAGTTTGAGGGATCTGACGTTTCCCAGATTCCCGGCTGCACAGAATTTTCCTGCGTCTTTGCTTTCAAGTTGCCTCCTTGCCTGCAACTCTTGTCTTATACTCTGTTTCTGGGTACTGCCCTCCACTAACCTCCCACCTAAGATGTAGCATACACCCCCGTTTAAATAGA